TTTACGATGAAGTAACGATCGTAACTATCTTATTATACAATAATTCAAAAAAAAATGATATATATATATTTTTTTAAACTATAGATTAAATTTTAATTTTATATTTCATAATATGTTAGGATCCATTCAAAGTTACTCCCATATTAGATAATGATATAAGAACTTCAAGTTCTTCACATGACAGTTGTTCACATTTAGAACCTGAGAAACTTTCACGAATTCCATCAAATACTAGTACAATTACAACAAATCCTGGTAAGGTGCATTCTATGTTAATTCTCATCCTTTTTTTTTCCTCTTTTGATTTTAATGTATCCAATCTCAATGTAAGAAACATTAGAATCTACTTATGATAATGAAATAAATGAATCAGAGTTAAGAAGACGAAGAATAAATGTTGAAGCTGCTGATAGGATATCAATAACACCGGATATTATTAATACTACCGTTGAACCTGATTTTATTGTTGAACAGGTAATTTGTAAAGTTGGCTAAAAAAATTACCTCTTATTATTTGACTAATTATTTCTCATTATTCACTGTTGATATTTATTATATAATATTAAAGAATGGTTCATTTCATGAAAACTCGACAGCTGCAATTCATTTATCTTCATCTCCAACTTTGATATCACGACTACCATATATCATTATGGTCATTTATTCATATATATTTGAAGACATTAGCTGGTGGAAACTTTTAAAACTTGTTATTATGGTTTTAAAGGTCATTACATTGTCATTATGATCTTCTTATTTGTTTAATACATACTTTTTTAAAATATATTTGTTATGTTTATTAAATTTTTATTGAATATAGGTTATAACATGTTTAACACCTTGTTCACCTTATTTACCTTCACCTTGGGTACTTTATCCTATCCTTATTTTCGCAATATTTGACCTTTTGTCGTAAGTACCTAAAGTATTAAAGTGTTTATTTTTGGTGTTATTAAACTTTTTTCATTAACTATTTCATTGTATCAATAATATTTGAAATAATTATAGTAAAAAGAAAACAGTTAATTTAATATTGAGTATTTTGCACATATCATGGATGATAATTTTTTTATCTTTAAAAGGAAAATATTGTGAAAGTGACATACCGAAATTTAGTAAGGTTGAATAATCAATTAACATTCTTAGAAACTAATTATCTAAAAAGTTATCTTAATATATCTGGTATATATATAAGTATAGTACGTATATTACGTATATTATTATTTGTTAATAAATTTTGGCGCAAGTATTCATGTATTTGGAAAAAATTAGTTTATACGTATAATTTGTGCATATTAAAATATCAAGTTTCTTATTATATATTAGCGTATTATTTGCTGTTTGCAAATGCTTCATTTAATCGCTATATTACCAATAAAAAAAAAAATATATAGTTTTTTTTTTCTAAGGTGTACTCTTCAATTACTATAATTATCATGTAAAGAAAAAAAATTTCATCTTTCTCAAAAATTAATCAATTTATACATCTACTGGTATTAATTTTTTATGTAGGTTTTAAACAGCAAAATTGTAAGATTCGCACAACTGCTTTGGTGCAAAAAATGAAACATTGAATATATTGAATAAAAAAGTATAATTTCTATTTTTATAAAATAAAGAATCATTGGATGTAAAAGAATGTTATTTAGGCAAAATAGAAAATCATTATATTCTAGAAGAATCATTGTTAAAGAAGTATCAAACTAGAATA